AAATTGTGGTATTTGACGCACTCCACTTGGTCTTTGAACCTACATCTGAAATAATATTATGTCCATAATATGACAAGGAGTCTTCTGTGTGGGACATGACTTTGGGCCAGGATGCTTTAAAAAGATAGATTATGTTAACAGGTGGGAAGACACCCAGGTAGGCTGAGGAGAAATCTTCCATACATACTTCAAATTGCCTTATCCTGGTATATTTTTTGAACTGATATTATATTCTCTCATATATAAGTATCCTTTTTTAAACACAAGTAGACTTAGACGGGGTCAGAGAAAAAAGGAGAATAGGACACCAAGACACAGTGGCAATGGCACACACAGCAGGAAAGGGAATAAAGGATTGTGGCAGATCTCCTAACCCAGGGGGCCAAGCAGGATCAGTGGCCAAGAAGGTCCAGTGGCCAGGGGGCTTCCACCAAAAAGTGAGAGGCCAAAGTTTAGAAACTGGAACGGGCCAACAGACTGAAGCCAAGCGTAGAGTAATGCCTTAATGCCAGGAAGCTGGGGCGCTATAATCTAAGTAGCTAGATTTAAATCCTGGCTTTTCTTCAAAATAACTATGTGACCTTGGTCCCATCACATACTTTTGCCTGTGCAGTGTTCTCATTTGTAAGGGGAAGAGGCTGGAGTAGATAGTCTTTAAGGTACAGTCTAGCTCTAAATTCTGTTCTCCTGCAAACTGGTTCTGGTACCCCAGGAAGGTGGCAAACCTACAAGCCCTAAGTCTAATAAGATAATCATGCACAATCAAGTGCTTTGTAAACCTTAGAGTGCAAAGGAAGAGTCAGCTTTTACTTTTATTGCTCTCATTTTCAACCAGTCTGTCTTTAGATCCTATAGATAGTTAGCTGCTTAATGACTTCACCATATCACATAGACCAGCCCTTTACCATGGGCCTTCTCAGACTCTGGGCTGCCTACTCCTTTCACTATAGGCAAAGCTCCCTCCTGTGACCTTCCCTGGACCTGTCACCAGTCATCTGGTCCCAGACTCAGAGAACTAAGAAACATCTCAGCCTGAAACTCTGAGAGTCTCAGCCACCTCTAGAGCAAGCCCTGCCCCTGAGATGGTTCAGATTACAGAGGAGAGAAATTGGACAACCATCAGAATAAGGATAACTAAATGACTAAGAGTCCTTCATTTGAGGTAACTAATATGAAAACTAACTTCAATGACTTTTGATCTTGCAGTTGCAAAAACTGGCATTTGGTGGTCAAAGTACCGACCACACAAATAAGACTGTTCTACCACCCACTTCCACAAAGACCTTGGTAGGCACACTATAGCCAGACTCCTAAACTCTAAAATAATTCAAAGCCTATGTCTACTGTATTTACTACCTTGTATGCTGTATTCATATAATCACTTTGGGCCCTGCACACCAGTCCACAGCCAATGGGAGGCATTAGCATATGGCCTTTGCTTAAAAGGCACTTCTTCCCTGCTCTGTGGAGAGAAGCCTGATGTCCTGGTGTCAGGGACACACTAACTAATCAGTGAAATTTATGTCACTGTTGCCAAGTGTGACACTTGACTGACCTTTCAAGTCAAGATCTTGGGTGGATGCTTAGAGATACTGGCTGGCATCCTTCTGTAAAAGGGAGATGGTAATAAGGTCTTGCCTGTGTCAAAGTCTGGAAATGGACCAGAAAATATCTTGAGGTTCCCTTCAGCTCTAGGGTCTAGAATTCTATTGCTAAGAGATTGTGGGGCCTATGGGGACCATGCAGCCAACTTGGAAGGGGGTAGTTAAGGCATAAAGATCCTACTTTAGGTCTGGAACAGTTCCTCCCCAAAATTCCCTCCAAAACCCATAAAGAACCTTTGGAAGAGTGAATCCTAAAACACTTTGATAAAATGCATACTTTGTATGTGAGGTAGATGCCTGTTCAGTGAGACACATTTAAAAACCCCCCAAATGTCCAACAATCCTTGTATCTGGATGTCCCACCAACATCTCATATTCAATATATAAAAAAACCAAGCTTATTTTTTTCCCTAAATCTCCTCCTCTTTCTGACTTCACTACTTCTGTGAATGGCACTACCATTCTACAAAACTACATTCAGTTTTCCATGGTTAAAAGCCAGGTGTTACCTGTAGAATACAAGAGGTGGGCAAAAATAAACATTAGTTACCACAGAACTTGTCTTAAAATTAAAAGGGGCAGGTAGGTGGCACAGTGGATAGAGCACCAGCCCTGGAGGCAGGAAGACCTGAGTTCAAATTCTACCTCAGACACATAACATTCACTAGCTGTGTGACTCAGGGCAAGTCACTTAACCTCAACTACCTCACCAAAAAAAATAAATAAATAAAAAAGAACCAGGAACCTCTGAAAGGCACTAGTTGTGTAACTCTGGGCCTATTTATTAAATCTCTCTGAGCCTTAGTTTACCTTATCTTAAGAAAGACAGACAGAAAAAAACAAATAGAGAAGATGACAGAGAAACAGAAACAGCTAATACTTAAACTATCACACACACAATCATAGGGTTGTATAGGGTTGTAATGAGGAAAGCATTTGGTACAACTGACAGTGCTATATAAATGTGAGTAATTATTAATTATTCCTGCTGCAACCCTCAAGTGGCAAGCCCTGAAATCCTCACTGATCTCCCACTCTTTTTCTCTTCCTACACATCATCATGTCTCCTTCCATGTCCTCACTCCTTCCCAAAACAGAAAAAGAAATCCATCCTTTGCATTGCTGCTAGACTAATCTTCTTCAAATATTGACTGGTCATGTTACTCCTCCACTTAAAATTACAACGGCTCCTAACTGCCCATGTTGTAAAGATCAAACTCTCCAAGCTTGGGATTCAAAGTCCCATGTGACCTAGAGCCACCCTCTTCCTAAAGCCTTATATTACATCACTCCCCTCCATGTCCTCTAGCCAAATTAGCTACTTCATGTCCCTTGCATTTAGTGCATAATTCCTGCTTCCATGACTCTGTTCCCGTTGTTCCTTATGGCTGGGCTGCTGCCCCAACACCACCACACCTGCTGAATTCCTACTCCTAGCCCAAGTTAAGGACTCCCTCCTTTATGAAACTTTTTCTACTATTCATACACTCCCTACTCTGAACCCATTAGTAATCATCTTTCCCTCATGGCAATTTGTGAACACCATTTTTATGCACTCATAATCTATTTAGTATTTTAGTTATTTAAGTATAGATGTCTTATCCACTAGCCCAGGGGGGAAAGATAATATGTCTTAAAGAAACTTTGTCTACTGTGCACAAAGCAAAATGATCTGTGCACAGTAGGCACTTGGTAAATTTTATATGTGTTTGTGTGTGTGCAAACCCACCCACATAATACATACATACACACACACACACACACACACACACACACATATTTCAGTTATGACATATATCATTTTAAATCTTTTGGCTTCCTTCAAGATTCAGCCCAAATCCTACCTTCTGCAGGCAGCCTTTCCCAGTTCTCTCCCCTATTCTGGCCAGGAACACTCCCTTGGAGAGCACCTTCCATTTAACTTTATAAATCTTTTACATACAATTTTTTTTTTGCATGTTGTTTCTCCCATTAGAATGTGAGCTCTTTGAGGAAAGAGATCATGCTTGTGTCATTCTCTGCGTCCCAGGTGCTTAGCACAGTGCCTGGTGCAGAGGAAGTGTTGATAAATGTTTGTCACCTAACTAGAGAAGTAGCATTCTAAAACAGAAGCTGTATCAATCACAGACTCTTACCCTAACTTTAGTGTGTTAATGGATTAAGCTTCCTTTCAGTCCTAACGTTCTCTAACATGTGCATATATGTATGTATATATATATATATATATATGAAAGTAATGTACCCCCTTCTTCAGTAATCCTAGGATATTTTAAGCAACAGTTAAAATAATCTAGAAGGAGAAATGTTTAAGGGAAGGCAGGATGTGCAAATCATATACAGAATCATGATGACAAAATATCAAGATTTAAAAACATCCTCACTCCAAAAAACCCAAACATATCAAAAAAGGAAAAACAATGGCCCCAAATGCTGAATTATATGTTGCAATAATTAAACCGAAACATACCAAAAAAGGAAAAACAATGACCCCAAATGCTGAATTATATATTGCAGTAATTACTGTCATTCAATAAATATGGTAGACCACTATGATTGATATATCACAGACTCAGTAAGGATTATTGTCCTAATAAAAAAAACTGTCTTTATACTAAGTAACAGAAACATAATTTGAACCAATGGTCTCTTTATAACATTACCACATGACCTTGGGTAAAACACTTAACCTCACTGGGCCTCAGTCTTCTTCTCTATAAAACGGAGAGGTTGAATTTCTGGCTTCTAAGGACCCTTCAAACTCTAAATGCTATGTGATTCTAGGCTGTCAAATCAACACAGGGTATGAAGTCCCACACCTGCTCTTTCTCCAAGGTCAGGCTGAGATCACAGTTCTTGAACATCTGACTCTTGAAATACATACTTATAACCCATATAACATTGTGATGATAGATTTAAGCCCTGGATCTCTGTTTCTGAGGAAATATGGTTTCACAGAGAAAATGATCTTTTGTGTTTTATAGAATTAAGACAATTGAATTCGAACAAGCATCTAAAATTCAAGGACGTCACTCCAAGTCATCAGCTTTTACTTAACATATGTATTTTTTGGATAAGTTAAGAGCAGCGCAGGGAGACAACCGCTCTTTTTAACATACACCAATCAAGAATGAAAACTGTGAACTTATTTTTACCAACTACAAGCAGTTAAAAATTCTAGGTGAAGGAAATACGAGGGAACTATGCTATACGAACTGATAATGGAAAAATTCTAACACTCTTGACCTTACTCTGCCCTTCATCCAACTAGAGAGAAGAGAAAGAATGAAGGAGGGAGAGGTAGAGAAACTGCTCTAAGATTCTGGGATGCCCTGAATATGTGACAAGTGCAAAAGTCAGTTTAAAAAACAATCAACCAAAAAGTTATTGTGCCCTCACCTTCTAAGTTCACCAAGTCCTCTGCTAGCTGGAGAGCTGGGATTCTGCCTTAGGAAGTTTTGCTTTAAATTGAGATGAGTGAGGTCTTGGCTGTAGAAGAGGTTGGCAGGCAGATGTTCGAGGCTACAGCACGAAAGGTCCACTGAGCTGATACGCTGTGAGGCAACCTAGAGAAAAATGCAATTCAACATTACTACTGGGAAAATATCACTTCACAAAAATTGATCATGTATTGGGACATAAAAATTTCATAACCAAATGCAGAAAAACAGAAATATTAAATGCAGCCTTTTCAGAAAATAATGCAATAAAATAATATTCAATAAAAGGTCAAGGAAACACAGAATAAAAAATTAAATGGAAACTAAATAATGTAATTCTAAAGAATTAGTGGGTCAAAGAACAAATCATAGAAACAACAAGTAATTTCATTCAAAAGACTGACAACAAGGAGACAATATATCAAAATTTATGGGATGTAGTCAAAGCAATACTTAGGGGATAGTTCATATCTCTAAATGCTTATATCACTAAATTAAAGAAAGAGTAAATCAATGAATTGGGCATGCAATAAAAAAAAACCTAGAAAAAGACCAAATTTAAAATCCCCAATTAAACAGCAAATTGGAAATCCTGAAAATCAACAGAGAGATCAATACAATTGAAAGTAATAAAACCACTGAACTAATAAATGAAACTAGGACTTGGTTTTATGGGGGAGGACCCACAATAAAATTGATAAACTATTAGTTAACTTGATTTTAAAAAAGAAAGAAAAACAAGTTACCAGTATCAAAAATCAATGAAGATGAAATTAAAGCAATAATTAAGAGTTATTTTATGCCAATAAATTTGACAGTTTAAGTGAAATGGATGAATACAAAAATATAAATTACCCAGATAAACAGAAGATGAAAGAGAATACTAAAACAACCCTATTTTACAAAAAGAAATTGAAGAAGTCATCAATAAGCTCCCTAAAGAAAAAATCCTCAGGACCAGATGGATTCACAAGTTAATTCCACCAAACATATAAGAACAATTTTCCAGTGCTATACAAATTATTTAGAAAAGGAGGTAAAGTCCTATCAAATTCATTTTACAATACAAATATGATGCTGATACCTAAACTAGGAAGAGCAAAAACAGAGAAAGAAAACTACAGACCAATTTCCCTAACAAATACTTATGCAAAAAATTAAATAAAATACTAGTAAGGAGACTAAAGCCATATATCACAAAGATCATTCACTATAACCAAGGTGGGATTGATTCTAGGAATGTAGGGCTGGTTCAATATTAGGAAAAACTATCAGCATAATTGACCATATCAATAACAAAACCAACAAAAATCATTTGATTATCTCAACAAATGCAGAAAAAGCTACTGACAAATTATAACACTCATTCCTATTAAAAATACCAGAAAAAAATAGGATAAATGGAGGTTTCCTTAGAATGTAAAGTAGTATCTATGTGAAACCATAAGTAGTAGCTAGGTGATGCAGTGAATAGAGTGCTGAGCCTAGAGTCAGGAAGACTCCTCCAACTAAATTCAAATCTAATCTTAGACACTTACTAGCTGTACAACCCTGGGCAAGTCACTTAACCTTGTTTGGCCTCAGTTCCTCATCTATAAAATTAGCTGGAAAAGGAAATGGCAAACTACTCTAGTACCTTTGCCAAGAAAAACCCTATATCATGAAGAGTCAAACACAACTGAAACAACTGAACAAAAACAACAACAATCTAAAATCATCAGCAAGCATTATCTGTAATGGGGATAAGCTAGAAGCCTTCCCAGTAAGACCAGGGGTAAAGCAAGGATGCCTATTATCACCACTATTATTCAATATTGTTCTAGAATGCTAGCTATAGCAATAAGAAAAAGAAATTAAAGGAATTAGAATAGGCAAGGAAGAAATAAAAGTATCACTCTTTGCAGATATGATAGTAAACTTAGAGAATCCCAGATAATCAACTAAAAACTAGTTGAAATAATTAACAACTTTAACAAAGTTGCAGGATATAAAATAAACCTACACAAATCATCAGCTTATCTATAGTTTACTAACAAAGTCCAGCAGGAAGAGATAGATAAATCCCATTTAAAATAGCTGCACACAATATAAAATATTTGGGAGTCTACCTGCCAAGATAAACCCAGGAACTATATGATCACAATTACAAAAACATATTTCACACAAATAAAGTCAGATCTAAACAACTGGAGAAATATTAATCGCTCATGGGTAGGCTGAGTCAACATAATAAAAATGATAATTCTACCTAAATTAATTTACTTATTCAGTGCTATACAAATCAAATTACCAAAAATTACTTAATAGAGCTAGAAAAATTTTTTAAAAAATCAACTGGGGGAACCAAAGGTCATGAATAATAAGGAAATCAATGAAAAAAAATGTGAAAGAAGATGGCTTAGCAGTACCAAATGATCTCAAACCATATTACAAAGTAGTAGTCATCAACACACTCTGGTACTGGCTGAAATATAGAATGGTAGATCAGTGGAATAGATTAGGTATACAACATAGAGTAGTAAATGACCACAGTAATCTAGTATTTGATACACCCAAAGATCCAAGCTTTTGGAACCAGAACTCACTATTTGACAAAAATTGTTGGGAAACTGGAAAGGAGTTTGGTAGATACTAGGTACAGAGCAGCAACTCACACCATATACTGGGAGAAGGTCAAAATGGGCATGTGATTTAAACGTAAAGGGTGATATCATAAGCAAATCAGGGGAGCATGGAATATTTTTCTTTTCAAATTTATGGATAAGGGAAGCATTTATGCTCAAACAAAAGATACAGAGCATTATAGAAGGTAAAAATGGCTAATTCTGACTACATCATATTAAAAAGGAGTTACACAAACAAAACCACTGCAGCCAAGATTACAAGGAAAGTAGGAAGCTGGGGGAAAAATTTTTACAGCAAGTTTCTCTGGTAAAGGTCTCATTTCTCATAAAGAGAACATGAGTCCTCTGATAAAGGACTCATTTCTCATGAGTCAAATTCATAAGAATACAAGTCAATCCCTAATTAACAAAATGGTCAAACAATATAAACAGGAAATTTTCATAAGAATAAATCAAAGCTACCTATAGTCACATGAAAAAATGCTCTAAATCACTACTAACTACAGAAAGGTAAATTAAAACAACTCTAAGATACCACCTCAACACCTAGAAGATTGGCTAAAAATAACAGAAAAAGGAAAAAAATATTGGGAGGGGATGTGGGAAAAAAGGTACACTAATGCACTGTTGGTGGAGTTGTGAACTACTCCAATCATTCAGGAGAACAATGTGGAATTATGCCCAAAAGGTTATAAAAATGTGCATAATACCCCTTTACCCAACAAGACTACTACTAGGTCTACACCCCAAAGAGATTGAAGAAAAAAGGAAAAGGACCTATATGTACAAAGATATTTATAGCAGCTCTTTTTGTGGTGGCAAAGAACTGGAAATTGAGGGGATGCCTATCATTTCAGGAATGGCTGAACAAGTTGTGGTATATGGTTGTGGTGACATACTATTGTGCTATAAGAAATGATAAATAGGATGCTTTCAGAAAAACTTGGAAATACTTACATGAACTGATGCAAAGTGAAATGAGCAGAACCAGGAGAATATTGTACACATTAACAGCAATATTTTATGATGATCAACTGTGAATGACTTAGCTATTCTCAACAATATAATAATCCAAGACAATTCTGAAGGACTTATGATGAAAACTGCTATCCACCTCCAGAGAAGGAACTGATGGAGTCTGGATATAGATCGAAGCACACTTTTTAAACTTTATTATTCTTGGGGTTTTATGGGCTTTATTTTCTTTTACAAATGGACAATATGGAAATGTTTTGCACAACTGTACATATATAATCTACATCAAATTGCATGTCTTCTCAAGGAGGAGTGAGGGGAAGAAAGGAGGGAAAGAATATGGAACTCAAAATTTAAAAAAAAAAGGAATGTTGAAAATTTTTGTTTCTATGTAATTGAGAAAATAAATAAATAGAAAATTAAATTTTTTATTACACACACACATATATATGTAAAATCTAGGACCAGTCTCTTGAACTTATATTCCTAAATTGGTAGCTTTGGGAAGGGGAGTGGGTTTGGGGGTTTTCATCTCCTGAGATGTAAACACGTCAACATAATAATATAACGAATTGGATACCTAACATCTGGATAGACATCTATGTATACATATGTAGGGGTAAGGGGGCTAGGAAGGAGAGAGAGGGAGAGAGAGAAAGAAAGCATGTGCACAGAGTGGTGACACAGAACTCAATTCAAAGAGGAGAAAAAAATAAGCCATTTCCCAAACCCATTATTTACACACACAAATATAGATAATACAATCAAGTATAAACTATATTCAAGTTACAAAGCAAGAAGGCAGCAATTCAGGGTGTCACACTTAGGGAAGGACATAAGTGAGCATACAGATGATGAATATCACAAAAAGACCATGAGATAGATGATGCTTATAATATGAGAACAGGTTAAAGGAAATTAAGGTGTTTAGCCTAAAGAAAAAAAGACTTGTCAGTCGTCTTTAAGTCAAGGGCTAGCATGTAGAAGAGGGATTAAATCTGTTCTGCTTGTCCCCCCATGGCAGAAAACAGAACAATTATTAGGAATGCCAAGAGTCAGATTTAACTTTGATGTAAAGAAAAACTTCCTAACAATTAGATCTATCCACAATTGAAATGGCCTGCCATGGAAACACAGAAGATACTTCACTAGGGACATTCAAACAAAGGCCAAATGATCAATTGTTGTAGATAATGTTGAGTTCAAGTAAGAACTGGACTAGATGCTACCTGAGGTTCCTTTCACCTCTAAATTTTGGTCTCTACATAAAACTATACACATAAAAGCTTAAGAGGTCACTGGAATGGGTGAATTCTAGTAGGGTTCATTCATTTCAACAAACAGTCATCTACTTAGGGTCATATATTTGGAGTTGGATTGGTCTACAGAGGTCATTAAGTCCAGACACCTCATTTTACAAAGGAGGAAATTGAGGCCTAGTGAAGTTAAGTGAATTACCTAAGGTTGTGCAAATACTAAGTGGCAGAGCTGGGATTCAAATGTTAATTATATACCTACTGTATACAA